AGGTGCAGATGATTGTCGCGAACCGAGCGTAGGTGTTCCACAAAGTGGTCCCCAAGCCTCCGCTTGGTTTCCCTGATGTAGAGGAGGCCACATCGGGAACAGCGGATACAGTATACCACGTTAGCAGATATGCAGGTGAACATCTGTTTGATGTGGAAGGTCTCCTTGTGGCCTGGGATGGGGGTGAGGGGGGAGGTGTAGGGGCAGGTGTAGCACTTCCTGCGGTTGCAGGGAAAAGTGCTGGGGGTGGTGGGGCTGGTGGGGAGTGTGGAGCGGACAAGGGAGTCACGGAGAGAGTGGTCCCTCCGGAAAGCAGATAAGGGTAGGGAGGGAAAAATGTTACATTTTTTATAGTAGTTTTAACATCCACAGATGTTTCAAAGTACTTTACGATAAATTCAGTGTAGTTACTGTTCTAATTTAGGAAAAGCGGAAGCTAATTTGCACACATTAAAATGTTGGGGGTCATCATTCACCAGAAATTAAACTGGACAAGTCATATAAATACTGTGGCTACAAGGGTAGGTCAGGGGCTAGGTGACTAATTCACCTCCTATCTCCTCAGCAATGTTCCTTAATTTGCACGCAGCAAACATTCCATGCCTAGTGATTGATGCGTTGATACAGATCACTGCATTGTCTCCTGGTTCTAGTTGCCACACACAGTAGTTGGATGTATGCACAGAATACAAACAAATTACAGGGAATGGTACTGTCCACTGCCTGTCCCTATTGACAAGAGACAAGTCAGCAGTGTGATGGAATACTCCCCATTTGCCAGGATGGGTGCAGCTCCAACAATATTCAAGAAGTTCAATTTCATCCAGGCAAACTATTCCACCACCTTTAATATTCACTCTCTAGAGCACTGGCAAAAAGGGCAGCAGACTATACCATCCACTGGTAATGTGATGCTGGTCAGATAATCTGTGCTTTTGTGATGTTGATTAAAGAACAGATATTGGCCAGGCCATGGAAATCTTACATGGCCAGCTGATGTGCAGTGATGCTCAGATATTAAGATTTCAATTCACCTACTTTATTAAGCACCATCCTGACCCTGTGTACCATAGCAGGGAGCTCCCAGCTTTATTGGGCTAGATGCTAGCATTATGACACATGCACCAAGAATACCCATGCCATGAAGAGTCTTACGGTGTCATACAGCAATGTATCATGGCTAATAAATTGTCAACTCAATGACATCAGCACCTGGGGCTGGAAGTAAATGATGTAATCATGTCAGAATGAGCCTTTCTCATGGAGACTTAAGTGCTTCAAGTCACCAACCTTTGCAGCTTCAGCATACGTAGAGGAAAGTGAAAGACGAGCATTAAAAAGATTTCAAGAAGCTGGTGGTCTTACATTACTCTGCTTACAAAGACAACTGGTCATAGTGAGGAGTTCCATGCCAGTAGCAACATCCAATAAGAATTATAAAGCTACTGATGATGTCAACCTTCAGCTCCACCCTAGTAGCCTATCAAGCCCATACAACATGTTTGGTGCCTTGATAGCAGGTTAGGATACCTCCGCATTAGCTGCTAACTCTCAATGGCACAACCAGGTCAGCGGTATGTAAAACAGCTTTTAAGCAATAAGCATCACTGGACGATTTCTGCTGGGATTTTACTTTCCTCAGTTGAACATGAAGTTCAGGACTACTGCTACAGCCAGCACACCTCTGCCGTTAAATCCCCTAAGCGCAGTCTCACATCTACAATGTCACTTAAGCATCTGCAATCATCTTACTTTTCCAATGAAGAGAATTCTCACTCAGTGCTGGCACAGACCAGAAAAGGCAGACTGCAGAGCTCAGCAACATAAGCCATTGCACCACGCTCCAATGTGCTCTGGGAGAACAGAAGTGGCTGGTTTTAATGATGTTTGAAGTAGGAATTAAGTCGTGATTAAGAAGCGAAAAACAGAAGTGATACGCTATCAGGTCATCCCGCAGTCAAGAGCATTGTGAGGAATGCATGAACTGATTTATGCTCATACCTGGTCGTTTCTGCTGAAAGTTGTTGCTGCCTTTCCTCATCTTCTTCCAATAAGTATTGCTGTTGCTGCTGTATAAAGTTTACCAACTTGCTTTTGTTGTGTAGCACCTAGAATGCAACTATAAATTGGAAACGCCACTTCAAGATCATCAAAAATTTCTTCTGACGAGACTGGAAGCTAAACGGGCAGGTAAAATAGCTGCCATGACTTCCCATGCAGTCCACCTTGATTGTTCTGCCAGCTTGGTCTGTTCTCTTGATCACGTGAATGGCAGACTCAGTAGAAGACAGTAAAGGCCACTCGTTAAACATGCAAATTGGGCTTAGGCAGTATCTCTGGGCTCTAAATTTAATTTTAATCCGAGGCCTAAATGGAGGCCTAAATATTGACCTAAATATTATGGTCAAATATACAGAAAGGGGAATTCACACCAGCAGAGGCTCAGAAAAATTAAGCTTCCTAACAAAACCTGGAAGTCGCCCAAGAGGACCAAGAGTTCTATATTTCCAAAGAGAATCGATGAGCCCTCCTCTGACAAAAGTATCACTTCACCATCCCTGACAGTGATGCTAAAAGCCCAACTCCACAATTTCTCTCAATGGGGCTCCAGTGGTGGCTTAATGCCAATAGAAATGTCACTTCTACTGACCAGCATGCAATGCTTTTTGTCAAGTTCAGGAGAGAAAGACTGGGCCCAGGAGGTGAGGCCTAAATGTCAAAATGTCCTGGGCCCTGAATTGTGTAAGGCCAGTCAATTTGCTGCATAAAACAACCCCTGCCTGCATTGGACTTGTTCTGTTCCAGGATCTGAGGGCAATGTACTGATGTCAAGATTCAATGTTCCAACCTGTTTTGCCTGGAAAGATGATACCATTTTGCGTGGTACATGAGGAACCTACACCAACAGTATGACGTGTGACTATGTGAAATTCCTGGAAAACAGATGTGGAGTTGATTCCTGACTGACGCATGATAGGCCACATGCCCACAATCGACTTCACTTCAATTTCTGCAGGCGCTAGAAAACTACTTTGTCACTTGTGAGACTGCAGATCATTTTTAGTGATACTGCCATGATAGATCTTTCTTTTCCAGTGATTAACAGCATCTTTGCTCACACCACAATCTTGCTGAAGTCTGCTGAACAGTGAAGGAGTTTACATCGATGTCTTTTTCACTGGCTTGGCTAAAGCAACCCAACTGCACAATTCCACCAACGACGAGTGGAAATGGCTAAGTTCAGTGACTAACTCTCTGCTATTGTTTATAGTCTTCAGCAGCATGACCTCTCATCTGAGTCCCAGAAAGCAAAGGTCCTATGCTTCATCCGCTGATATTCGCTTGATGATTGGAACCACATTATTCTTCTTGATATTCCCAACATCAAACCAAGGACTGCAGGAATAGATCTTGCTGTGAAAATGCATTGTAGACTCACTCATCAGCTGGAAAGGGTTCCCAACACAAATTCAGCAAGTCTTCCAGCTGAGATATTTGTTTCTTTGTCGACCCTTCATTGGTGCTGAAGGAGATAGAGTTGAGGAACGTGGCACCTATTTCCCCACCCCACCCCTCACCCCCATTTCCAAAACACAAATGTCACTCTAATCCAGTGGATGATCCAAAAATGACATGCAATTTAGACCCACAGGTTGGTGTGAGACGTTTGGAGTGGATCTCAGTCAACTCGGGCTCCAGTTGGATTTTGTTAAAGGACATCGACTCGGCAATGTATGCAAGATATACCATTTCTAGTGCTGAGTTAAGGCATCTGTGACATTCCATATTTAGAGGACAGGCAAGATCCTTACAACGTACTAGGGAAACCTCTGTCTTCCCAGGTCCTCCAACTTGGATGCCAGTCTCATCGCACAGATGAGTCTCTAAAGATGATCCAGTTGGACTACTCTTCACAATAAAATAATCAGAAAATTCTATGGCTGAAGCAAATGTAAAATGTACACCTCGCTGAAATCTCTCCTCAAAACACTTGTGTTCATCTGAATGCATGGACAGGACAAACTTTGCCTGCGAGCTGATGGAACTCATTGTACTTACAGGAAGCATGCTGTGGAGTGCCAGCTTCCACCAGGGACCTCAGGCTGCACCCACTGAGATGTGAGACATGAAGCATGCAGCTTTCTCACAGGTTCCTCCATATTAATCCGGGCTAGCTGATTATAAGCAGTATAAAGTGATGCATCAAACAGTACTCACCTGGAACATGAAAAAACAAAACAAAATATCCCATTCAGACTTATGGATCTTACAGTCTATAAGGAATTATGTTTCAAATGATCTAGAGAGTTTTTATAGGACCAGGAATAGGCTATTCAGCCCCTCAAACTCATTCCACCATTCAGTTAAATCACATATTGCAACTCCATGTACCCACCTTTGCTACAGATCACTTAAAAGCCTTATCCAAACAAAATCTATGGATCTCAGTCACAAAATGTTTCACTGACCTTATTAGCTTATTGGGGGGAAGAGTTCAAGACTTGCACTGCCTTTTGTGTGAAGAAGTGCTTCCTGACATAATCTTAAATTTCGAACCAGGCTGGCAGTAACGTCCGCTGACATTTTCTGCTTTAACTCCTTTAACCTCATCCGACTTATTTGAGACTTTGGTTGATATTGTAAAAAGAACAATACTGATTCAGCCCCAATATCCATTGATTGCAACATCAGGAAAGCGGCTCAATTGATATTGTGCATTTTAAAACCATCACTCAAAGTCAAAATTAACCTGCATTATGTCCTACTGTGTCTAAAAGTAGTTTTGAGTAGCCCTGTCGTATCAAAGTCTTGTCATTGTATCCAATACAACTGGATCACCTTTATTGTCAGTGGTCTTGAAAAACAATACAATTTTGAGGTAAGTTTTCTGAGACTCTGCTTCCGCAACCATTGGCCCTCCTGTTGATTAAGTCTCTGAACATTTACCTTACTTGTCTGGAAGAAGTGGGTATGTGAAATTAAACAAGGCAGCCACTCACTTGATTGTTGAAAGCCTCTGGGGCAAACCTCTTGTAAACAGGTGCCAACAGGTTTGCCAGGTTTTGCAGATTGGACTCGAGTTTTTCCTCCTGAATAGAAAGATAGAAATTATTCATCAGAAAAGGAAGCACTGAAGAATTCAAAAGCTGTATTTCTAAGAGATTTCACAATCCTGCATGTCAGAGTAGGAACTGGAATGCCTCGTTTGCCCCAGGAACAATGCATGAATTGTATAGTTACCCCTTTAAATTGCTCTTTGCAGTGGAAGAATTCACAAGCTGATTAATTGGGCTCTCAAGAGCCTCTCAGGGTGCACACAAGTACAGAAGTTGGAGGATACAACAGATGAATTTATGGCTGGGAAGAAGGGAGAGCTTTAGATTCCTGGAACACTGAGACTGGCTCTGGGGGAGGTGGCACCTGAACAGAACCTGACTACCTTGCAGGGTGTTTTGCCATTGTTTTTGCAGAGGGTCATTCACATCGACCAGATGCAGTCATCCTACTGGATGTCAACCAGATTTCACAGCTAGACCACTGATATTCACTTGTTGGGACAGTCTGCAGAAGGATTCAAACTTTGCACCAAATCTATAGGAGAAATTATCAAAGAATCCCCGCAGTGTGAAGCAGGCCATTCAGCCCATCGAGTTATCACTGGCCCTCCAAAGAGCATCCCACCCAGACCTAACCCCCTACCTCATCCCTGTAACCCCGCATTTCCCACGGCGAATCCACCTAACCTGCACATCTTTGGACTGCGCGAGGAAACCCACGCAGACTCTGGGAGAACGTATAAACTCCACACAGATAGTCGCCCGAGGGTGGAATCGAACCCGGGTCCCTGGTTCTGTGAGGCAGCAGTGCTAACCGCTGAGCCACTGTACTGCCCAATTGCAAAGAAACCTCACTAGATGGGGACCTGACAGAAATTCAACTCCAGAGAGTTGAATGATCCACCTCAGCATTCCCAAGGCGAGGCCTTTTCCACCTAACCTTTCAAACCAGCACATGTGGGCAAACAACACTTGACCCATTAAAGCCAATGGATGGGAAACCAGGACTGCATGCACACCACCTCCTTAAATGCATCTTTGGTGAGACAGGCTTTGCCTAGAATGCCAAATGGTGAAATTCTACCTGAAATTCTAACCTGTGTGCAGCAAAGACAGAAGAAGAGCCTTACAAAACAAACACTCAATGGCCTGCTGAGTTACCACTGACCTCTTTGGGATCATCACCGAGTAGCCTGAATTTCCTGGGGGCTTTACTTCTTGCGAACTTACACCCGTTATAGTACATACTCCAGGAGCAGCCAAAGGAAAACGAAGCTCCACAAGTGTCTTGGTTTAGCCCTTGGCAAGCACACGTTCGTCTGCAGGAGAAAGAATAGGTTAACAGCTCGATGGCGCTGGTCTCTGGACATTAGGCATCTGTACTAAGGGATATCCTCAGCTGGTACCCGCTTTGCTACGATCTCCTTTCAGGAGATATGCTGCCATGAATTCCTCCTGTAATACTAGTCTACAGGACTTACTCGTATTACATGGTGAAGGATTAACCGCTGATAAGTCTTCAGCGGAAGAGATCATTGATAACAAGAAGTAATTTATTAAATACAGCAAACTTTATTTTAACTGGCACCTTATGAACCAGCACTCCCAATAAACTGGTAAAAATTATACACCTAAAATACCAGACATTTACGGTATTATTGCAATCTCCGTAATGTTTAAGTAGTTAGTTGAGGGTGCAAGCCAGAAGGCTTTAAGGCAAAGTTGCGTTGTTATTTGTTATTTATGCTGTAAACAGAGTACAACAGTGACATGTATACCCCTGCATTACATTTCTATTACTTAGTGTGTGCTTTTATATTGATTATGTGGACTTCTTGATCAACCAGAATATTAGATCAATTGGCACATCCCTTGTACCAAAGCTGACGGTTAATAAAAGGTTTGCTGTACTAGCTAACAGGTTATGTTAAGACTACTCAGCTATATTACAGTTGGTAAAAGACAGGCTAACTTCAGTTATATGGTTGTTAACAGTGGAGATCAGACTAACAGACTGGAGTAACTACAACAGACAAGTAAAACTGACCAGCTTTTTCCAGAGAGAGTCATATATATCTCAGTGGACAGAGTTATACAAGGACTTCAGAGTTAACCCTTTCAGACTAGCCCCCACCCAAACTTTCTTCCCCTTGTTTTAACCCATTGTGCAACTGCTTAAACAAGAGTATCAAGTTTATCACGGTCTTTGCTCGTAAATCTCTGACTTTATAAAATCATGCTGTCTTAGGCGAGTAGGTGATCTACTTGAGCAAGAAAATTGAATATTAACATCTGGAAAGACCGGTGGTCATTTATTTCCTGCATATCTTTTGCTGTTAGAATGCTGATGTCAGAATGATGTTTGATTGCTTCGATGTGTGTGATGAAAGATGAATGTTGAGGTAAGTAATCTTCTTGTTTAACGCTGTTGCAAGGTAGATCAGGATGAGCAGTCTTTTGTCACAATGTCTTTTGCTTGACAGGTTTTTCTTGTTTTTGATGAATTCAGGACCCGAATACTCTCTCGTCAGTACGATTCTGCTCTTGAGTATAACCTGAACAGAGTGCTGGGAGTTTGGTGAGTTGACGCAGTTCGATGTGGAGTTGTTCTTTTCTTTTATAAAAATTTTCACCCTGTAGAAATCAATTCTTACTCTTATCCTTAAATGCCCTATTTATAAACACACGAAATGAAGCTGGACACCGAGTAGGGGTGAATAATTCTTAGAGTAAGTTATCCAATAGTTAGCTTCAGGTATGGGAGGTTAACTTGCCCATGGTGTGTTTAATGTTACCCCAATGAGGAGTTGTACAGGAAGCGTCATCAGTTGAAGAAACTTGAACTGCAGGTTTTCAGAACCCGAATGGCAGCAAGAATCCCTGTGGCACAAGCAAAGGATTACGTGGATAGCATGTTTAATTACGTGGTCATTGCACAGGAACAGCAGCTTGTGGGCAGATAGAGATTATCAAGCAATCCAGGAGAACAGGGTAGGTAGAGGAGGAATCTTCCGTGATTTTGCTCACTAATTGGTTTTCCGTTCTGGATATGGGTAAAAGTAACGGTTCCTCAGAAGAGTGCACATGAGGCAAGCACATGGCCCTGCAGGGGCTCAGCTGTACAGGAAGGAAAGGAGAAGAGTGGAAAGGTAGTAGTGAAAGGGGATGTGTTAATGAGGGGAACAGACAGTCCTTTCTGTGGCTGTTTCACCCCAGGGTAGATTGGTGCCTCTGTGGTGCCAGGATCAAGGATGCCATAGAGAGGCAGTAGGATATTCTTCTGGGGGAGAGTAATCAGCCAGAGATCCTGGTCTACATTGGTACCAGTAGAAGGGGGACATGTTCCTGCAGTCAGAATTTAGGTGCCTGGGTATCAAATCAATCAGCTGGTACTCTAAAGGTGGTAATTTCCAGATTACTCCCAGTCCACCCACAAGTAAGTACAGAAGATGGAGGACACAACAGATGAATTTGTGGCTGGGAAGACTGTGCAGGAGGGAGGGCTTTAGCTTCCTGCAACACTGAGACTGAGTCTGGGGGACATGGCACCCACAAAGAACTGGGACTGACTTCCTTGTAGGGTGTTTTGCCAGTGCTTTTCAGGATGGTTTAAACCACAGTGGTATGAATGTGGGAGAGAATATCAGAGAAGAATAGTAGACACACAAAAACAGTGAGAGAGATAGTTAACACGAGAGTAGGGAATACAGGTAGTTCTGCTATAATATGTGTTTTGATAACGAAAATTGATTGTAACGCAATTGATGAATAGTGGATGCTGTTTTGATAATGCAAACTTTCTGCTGTACAGATATAGTGATTTTCTACAGCGATTTCCAAATAATGCAATTTTCTATAGCATGATTTTCTATAGCGCAAGGTCACACAAGAACACAATTATCGTGTTATAGGAGAACTAGCTGTAGTAAGATAATCAGTGCAGGTGGGATAAGGGAGAAATTAAAACATTTAAAATCAGGATTTCAGTGCATGTATGTGAATGCATTGAGTCTGATAAATAAGGCTGATGAGTTACATGCTCAGATTACCATGTGCAATTATGATGTGGCTATAGCAGAGACCAAGCACAAGGAAGAGCAGGACTAGTTGTGAAATATTCCTGGATACAAGATGTTCAACAAATGTGATGTCAGGAAAGACTTTGTTACACAGCGAGTAGTTAGGATCTGGAGTGCGCTGCCTGGAAGTGTGGTAGAGGCTGGTTTATCAAGGCATTCTAGAGCATATTGGATGATTATCTGGATAGAAGAAGATGTAAGAGGTTATAGGAGAAGGAAGGAGCATGACACAAAGTCATAACACTCATTTGGAAAGCCAGTACAGCCATGTTGGTCCCAATGGCCTCCTTCAATGTTATAACAATTCTGTGATTGTAGATGGAGAATAAATAAAGAGTTCTCCACCATTTGATTTCAATGATGTCTTCTTTGTTGGAAATATTAAAGAGTAGTAAAACACAGCTGATGATGTATATCTCTTCTTGGGATCAGTGAACATTTTTATCAGCCCTGTGAAGTCATCTTCTGACTGGCAGGTATTATTTTGGCCCACTAATGTTGTCTTCAGAGATGGCTGAAATTACTCAGCAAATTTCAAAAATTTTAAAGCAAAACATGCTTTCTTCCTCACTAGTGTTGTTTGTTGAGTATTAATGTGCAAGTTCTGCAAACTGATATTTTTATTTCAAACATGTTATTAACATTCCTTTAATTGTACACCTGCATCTTCAGCATCACGCTAGCAGGTTGTAAGTTCAAGATTTTAACCAAGGAGTTTCGCTTGATAACACAGTGACACTCCCTCCTGTATCAAACTTGAATTGAATATTCATTCACATGAATGAGTTCTGTCATGTCTGGTTCAAATGGGTCAGTTATTTTGCTTTGGAAACATCTAGTTTCTTCACAAGGAATAATATTATTACCTAAGGATACACGTTCTAATACTTTGAGAGTCAGATTTTTTTTAAGTGTTTGGTATAAAGTATTGCTTGCTGATGGAACAACATTATTTAAGCATTGCTTCTGGTTCTTGCTTATCCTTTAAAAATGACACACTTTTTTTGCAACGTGATATTCCTGTTCTGCGAGAGGTCTACTGGAACCACAATGTTAACTCGGCTTTCTCTCTACAGATAAGCCAGATCTGCTGAGTTTCTCCAGCAATTTCGGGTTTTGTTTCAGATTTCCAAGCATCCATAGTTCTTTGTTTTATTTTATTCTTGTAATAGTGTTGAACCATTAATTTTGATTATGTGTTTTGTTGGACAGTGACACTGAGCACTAAAAGTTTTGAACACACTTTTCCTTGGTTATCACGTGACTGTTTGGAGTGTTTGTACCTTATGAAGTGAATACATTCTGATTAAGTTTGTTCTTCTATTTCCCAGATCTTTCAGTGTTTTTCCAAATCTAAGCTTTTAACACAATCTGCATAGACTTTCCAATGTGAGATCTTCCTTTAATTTTAGAAGAACTGAAAAAGAAGAATCAGAAATTCCGACAACAATTCTATCTCTAATTAGTTCTGGTTGTAATGCTCCAGTTACAAAACATCTAGACAATATATATAAAGATCATCAATAGAGGTTGTCAAAATGTTCTCCTGGAAACTATTCTATGATTGAATTTTGGTCTTTCCATAATGCAATTAGTTCATAAAATAAGATAGTTGTCAAATGTTTTTAAGGCATTATCAAAGGTATCAGCATCATCTTTAACTTTTTCTCTGTAAATAACATGGTCTGCTATTAGTCACACAGAATAGAACACTGTGTTAATTTGTTCTGTTTGTGATTTGAGGTGCAGATAGCAAGTAATCCTATGGGTCTCACAAATTGTTTCTTCCATGCTGACCAACTTAATTTTGTCTCTGAAATATGTATAACTTTGAATCTGTCTGGAGGTGCAAAAACGTTCTCTGTTGTTGAAGTTAAGTTGCTAGCCTTAAAATTCTGAAAACTTTTTAATATTATTTAAATTCTGCTGTATCATCAGCTTTTCTTTTTTAAGTTTGAACTGTGTTTTCAACTCTATTTCTATGAAAGTTTTCAGAAAATTTCCAGCTTTAAGAGTTGCTTTTGGAAATTGTAATTAAATTTTAATTACTTTTAAAGCAAGATAAATCTTCTAATAAAGTTCTATATTGCTGTTGTTTTGTAAGATTTTAAAGCTTCTATTTTTCCACATCTTCTTATAGAACAATCATTAGTGTGTTTTAAATTGTAAAAGCTTTTCTTAAAAAGAACTTTGAATTCCTACTGTATTCCTTTAATAAAACTTTGAAAGTAATTTTCAAT